AAGTTCGGCTTACATCGACAGCAGACCGGGCAGTTGGAGGTGACGCGGCGCACGTCATCCACGGAGTAGGGCAGATTCTTGCTGCGCACGAAGTGCAGCAACCTCGTTACTCCGGGGTGAACGAGAGACTCGTGCAGCTGCTCCAGGGCCGGATGTGAGGCGGCTGCGCAGTGGGCGCGGCTGAACGTATCAGCAGGAATGTTTTCTCGTCCTGGTCGGTACTTGATGGTGTACGAGAGTGGCGAGAGCTCGATTCTCCAGCGTAGAATCTTTTCATTCTTGATCTTGCTCGACACTTTGTTGTCGAACATGAAACTCACGCTTCTTTGGTCAGTGAGCAGGTTGAAGTGGTGGGTTAGGAAGTGCCTCCACTTTCTGATAGACTCCACGATGGCGTAGGCCTCCTTTTCGACGATGCTGTGTCGCTTCTCGGCTTCGTTCAGAGTGCGTGAGAAGAAGGCCACAGGACGCTCGTCTTGGGTAAGAGTCGCTGCGATGGCTTCGTCGGAAGCGTCTGTTTCGATGGTGAATGGGGCGTCATCTCTGATGACGGCGACGACCGCTTGTGAGATGTCCTTCTTCAGCTGCTGGATAGCCGCTCTGCAGTCGGGATTCAGAGGGAACGACGATGCAGAGATGAGGGGACGGATCTTCTCAGAGTATGAGGGGATCCATCTGGCGTAGTACGCGAACAGGCCGATGAGCCGTTGCAGAGACTTCTTGTCGCGAGGTTCCGGCAGCTCTTGAAGTGGACGCAGTCGTTCGGGGTCCGGTCTCAGCTGGCCTCGCTGGATGGAATACCCGAGGATATTCACCGTCTCCAGGCCGATCTTGCACTTGCTTCTGTTCAGCGTGAGGTGGAGCGCATCGGCAACCTCCCAGAAGCGCCGGAGGTTCTCATCGTGCTCCTCCCTCGTCTGGCCACAGATGGTCAGGTCGTCCAGATAAGCATAGGTCTCCTTCAGGTTGTTGGCCGCGATGATGTCATTCATGACGCGCTGGAAGGCGGCTGCGCCGTTCGTCACCCCCATGGGGATTCGCTTGAATTGGTACAGCTTTCCTGCCGCTTGGAACGCTGTGTAGGGTCTCTCAGATGCGTCGATCTCGATTTGGTAGTAGGCGCTGGAGAGGTCGAGGACGCTGAAGAAGCTGTTTTTCCCGACCTTGTTGACGAGCTCGCCGATGTTCGGCAGAGGATACGCGTCCAGTTCAGTGAATCTGTTGATAGTCTGAGAGAAGTCAACGACCATCCTTTTCTTCTTGTTTTCCGTGTGTGTGACGACAACTTGGGCACGCCAGGGTGAGCGACTTGGCTCGATGACGCCCTCGTTTAGCAGACGTTGAACTTCGTTCTCGATGAACTTCTCGTCCACGTGGCTGAAGTGTCGTGCTCTGGTCGCGATGGGATGGCAGTCGGGGGTGAGGTTGCTGAAGAGCCTCGGGGATGCCGCTTGACTGACTTTCATCTGCGCGAGATTGCAGATACTGAGCTCGGGTTCGTCGCCACCGAGCTCCAGGGTTACACCCTCGTGTCTTCGGAGGAACGGCATGCCGAGAATGACGTCCGTGCAGAGATCCGGGAGGATGGACAGTTCGACCTCCTGGTACTCCCGATCGTCAACCGTCACGGTTGACACGCAGTATCCTCGCACCTGTGTTGAGAGACTGGACGATGCCATGGAGACTTTAGACGATCGTGGCAGCACCCTCATGCCGAGTGCGGGGACGAGCTTTGCGCTGATGAAGTTGTCAGAGCTCCCTGTGTCGATGAGAGCTGTAACCTGACGCCCGTTGACTCTCGCGCTCACTGTTGCTGGCGCGTGAGTAGCGGCGGCAGAGCTTGAGGCTGCGAGCGTGGGCGAGAGCTCCGGCTGGCGAGGTTCTTCAGGGTAGGACTCGTACTCCTGTACGGCCGACGCGTTAGCCACCGACTTGGAGCGGCACACCTTCTGCCAATGTCCAGATTTGCCGCACTTCCCACAGGTTGAGTTTTTTGCAGGACAGGCTGCTCGTGGGTGGCGTTTTAGTCCGCAGAAGAAACACGGAGATTGTGAGGCTGCAGCTACGGAAGCGTCTGCAGTTGGAGATGCGGCGGAGGCTGCGACCGGATCGACCCGTACCGCCGGGGACAGGTAGGATTCCGCGTTTCGTGCGGCTTGCTCCAGTGACCGCGCTTGTTGGACCGCTTGGTCTAGGGTCAGAGTCTGGTTTTCCAGTAGTCTGGTTCTCATGCTGGCGTTTCTCAGGCCCCTGATAAAGGCATCGCGCACGAATGCCGCGCGATGCTCTATGGCTGTGACGGCGGCGAAGTTACAGTCACCCGCCAGGTTGTTCAAGGCCAGAAGGAACTCGTCGATGTTTTCTTCTGGCTTTTGGTGCCTCGTTGACAGCAGGTGCCGCGCATAGATTTCGTTTGGCGTCTTCAGATATGCAGCGTCGAGTTGCTTCAGGGCTGCATCGTACGTCTGACAGTCTTGAATCACGTCCACGACTTCTGGTCCGATATGGAGGAAGAGTAGTTCGAGCTTGTCAGGATTGTGACTTTCGATAGTCGTCAAGAAGTACTTAAATCCTCGGAGCCAGAGCTTCCATTTCTTGTGAGCTTGAGGATCGTTTGGAGGGACGTCAAACTTGTCTGGTCTGGCGATCCTCTCCATGTCTTGTCATGAATTTAGTTGAATAAATTGTGGTACCAAAAGTTGTAGTATGAATACAATGGTTTTATTCAACTAAATTCGACCGATATGAGTGTGTACCTGAGGACGAAACAGAAATAACAGATGTTAGCGAGAGCACCACATTCGACAGTAATGGGTGGTTTATCACACAAGGTAAGCGAGACCAGGGGGGTACGCTCCGGCTGTTAAGCATTATGAAAAATGGTGACAGACGTTTGTGGAGGATTGTCGACGAACTCTTGTTCCGTGAGCAGTACTTACACGCTAGCGGAAAATTCACCAATCAGCGCTCGGCGGTACTCGACGCTGATTGGTCCGACGCTCGTGACGAAATTGCGGGGGACCGCAGTTATTCTCTATGGACCCGAATAGGCTTTTGGATTTCGGAGGGGTTTCTCTAAAATTATATGCTGTTTCGAGCTGTTTTCGAGTTGAAATATATTTCTTATGACTGTTACCTATATAATGGCACCATAAAATCATGATTTTGATAAATATTACCGATGAAATATCGGCCGAAAAGACATGCTGTCATGGTACGGACTGCCCTGCGGCTGATGTGGGGTCCCTAATGCCAGCGTATGGTAATAATGGGGTGACGAAGGGTTATTGGAGACTCTTAGAGCCCCATCAGCATTCAGCATAGGGTCATCAGAGGCCGGGAACGTCCATCAGGGGTCTGAGTAGGCCTGTCATAGGGGCATACATGACACATCATGGCCCATGGGTCAATGTAGATCCATGTAGTTGAAGGGCCAGCATTGTTCAGCGTGGGCTCGCAATTACCTCTGATGGGCATATGCCGTGCCCCGATGGACTAACGCTGGCCCCTGATGAACCATCACCAGCCCCTGATAGGTCTACAAAGCCCACTGCTGGGTCTAAATTGGTCACTGATATGCCCAAATGGGCCACTGAGAAACCCGTACAACATCCCCTGACTGCACCTGCTGGACCGGTGCCGTCCTCTCATGGGCCCACCACAGCTCTTGAATGACCTTTTCAAGTCCCTTGAAGTGCCTTTATTGGCCTAAATGGCCCCTGATTGGCTTATGTGGTCCCTATTGGTCCTATATGGCCCCCATGAGCCCTCAACGTCCCTAGACGGCCTTACATTATGTCACTGGGCCCTGTTGGGTCAGCACCGGCCCCTGATAGGCTTGCACTGGACCCACCGGGCCTATACCGACCCATGAAGGGCCTATGTCGAGCCCTCATGGGCCTCCGATGACCACACGCCGGCATGTGTGGCCCCATCAGCAGTGGTCCGTCTATCCCATGTACTTACGGTCTTTTTGGTCGATGTGACACCGGTAGTATATAGAAATGTTATGATTAAATGTCGTTATTACACAGTCAAAAGTCACAGAAAGAATATCCAAGCTCAAAAATGGCCTCAAACCCAACAAAAACTGGTACAAATCCCCTTCAAAAGCCGTAAGTCTATTAAACGCCATAGGGGAATAGCTGCAGTCCCCCGCAATTTCGTCACGAGCATCGGGCCAATCAGCGTTGAGTATTGCCGAACGCCGATTGGTCGATTTCCGCTAGCCTGTAAATGCTGCTTGCGGATATAGTTTTGAACAAAAGAGGGTCGCGGCTACTAATTATCGCTTGTCACCACTTTTTCGTCGGGAGCGTTCTACCTGGTTTATATAGCCTTGAGCGAGACTAATCAAATTGGCTATCACTGTGGCATAATAATTTCCATTCATCCAAAAATCCTTACATAGAAGAAAATTGTAAAACTCAAGGTAACTCACTGTTCATCGTCCAAACTTCCCTCTGTGTCAACTATTTCCTTGGGTGATATTGTTCGTCATAATCAAACACGCAGAACCTGAAGTGGTTCAGTTCAAACATACTCTGTGACTGACTGCTCGTGTCACATTCACACTCGCAAACTCAAGCCTCAAACTGACACTATCCAAGCTGCTGATTGTGTCGTCTCATTCACACTCACAAACTGACACTTTCCGAGCTGCTGATCGTGTCACTTCACTGGTTGAAGATCTCTGGACTGTCGCAAGTGATTGATAGTTCCTTCACCAGATCATATAGTTATAAGGTTGCTATTCACAAGATTGTGGTAACATTGCTCATCCTGCGCCATAATTGTATTTTTTCTTGTTATCTCAACGTTAAGGCACAATGACAGACTCAAAGCCAGACCTGAGAAGTTTGAAGGTCAAACGAGGTCATGTCAAACGTGTTATCACGCTAACGCTCAAGAGCCTGCAGCAAGAGGAAGTACATCCAAACGTTGCAAGTGATTGTGTGTCAAGCATACAACAAAAGCTGAAGGAAGTAGAGGAATATGACATGTCAATTGCTACGGAGCTGGCTGATGAAGATGGAGAAGGTGAAGGATATGAGGAGGAGTTGGCCGAACAGGTAAAGTACCAACTGGAGATGAAAACAGCTATGGAGAAAATCAAGAAGAAGACTGATGTTGCTGAGCAGGGTGCCAGCGCTACAGAAACAACAGCCAGACTGAAGGAAATAAAACTGCCCACGTTCAGTGGCACACAGGCAGATGTCATGGAATTCAATGACTTCTTCACACTCTTCGAGGATCTGATTGGGAAAAACAGCAAAATCGGTGGAGGAAGCAAGCTGCTGTATTTGAAGACCTACCTACGAGGCAGTGCGTTGGACCAGATCAAGCACCTCTCCAATGACAGCAACAACTACGAGTTGGCGGTGCAGTTCTTGAAGAAGGAGTTTTTGAACAAAGACAAGGTTGTTGAACATCACATCAGAAAGATCTACGAACTACAGGCCCCTCCGGCACGTGACCTAGAGGCTGTACGCAAGTTCATGAACACAGCTCGCACATCCATCTATGAGTTGAAAACCTTTGGGTATGATGCTCTAGACGGCGACTCACTAGGCAGCCGGATCATAAGCTTTCTTCTATGGGAGAAGCTACCAGCAAACTTCAAAAAACGGATGGACACAATGACACCCACAACAGCACAGTTGCTGGAATGTTATGGTGACATCCTCCGAACACTTGAGAGACTATCAGAAAAGAAACCACATTCAGCCTCTCAGGCGTCAAAGCAAACTGCTCCGACCGGAAAGTCGAAGACACCTGCTCACACAACTCAACATGCACCCATGAAGAACATCAGCACATTTCAGACTGATACACAGAAGCAGGCTCTGAAATACAAACCATGCAAACTGTGTCAGGGCACACACTCGATGCTGAAGTGTAACTCGTTTCAGGACGCAACAAAACGTCGTGCACGGTTGGCCGAACTGAAACTGTGCACAGCCTGCAGTGGTCAACACAGTTTGTCCAGCTGCCCCGGCAAGGACAAGGGATTGAACTACCCATGCACCATCTGTGGAGACAAGTCGCACATTACTGCACTTTGTGTTCCAGGAAACTCCACCCAGAGTCGACTCTGCTTGATGAGCGAGCAGCACGGCCGCCGTTCACTGCTGCCGACGACGTCAGTGGTCATCTGTGCCTGTGGAGAAGCAGAAGTGGCCAGAGCGCTGATAGATCACGGGAGTCAGGCGAGCTACATCAGTCAGACACTGGCAGAGAAGCTGAAGCTGGAGGAGAAGGGACACGAGGAGACGTTCACAGTGAAGACATGCATCGGGACAGAAGAGAAAAGACACCGAGTCGTCACCTGCGAGATCGCAATCACACCGAAACGCATGATCAAGGCAGAGTTCCTCATCGATCCAAACATGGACCTCAGTTACAATCTCCCAGGCGTATCACGTGCGGTGAAGCAACTGCAAGATGAAGGCGTCATACTGGCTGACTGCTTCTACAGAGATCAAGAGACTGACGACATCGACAACATCCACTGTCTGCTGGGCGTCAACGTGTTGTCTGACCTCACCCCTCTCCGGACAGTCAGCCTGGGACAGAGTGTCGCCTACGAGGTCGACAAAGGGCACATCATCTTCGGAGATCTGGCTGGTCTGGTTCCAGACCACCTGTCTCACCTGTGTGGTCCGACAAGTGAACCGACGCCCGAGGATGAGGAAGAACTGCTACAAACGATCAACGAGACCAACATCAACATCAAGCAACAAGATCAGCATCGAACAACACCTGAAGAACAAACTGAAGCCAGCACGGTAGGACAGCAAGCGCAGCCGCAAGTCCTATGTGATGCTACCAAAGAGGCTACCAAACTTCAAGATCAAGAAGGGAGTCAGCTTGCTCAAGATGCATGCCTCGTAGCTGACTCAAATGCTCAAACTCAAACTGCAAACCCAAACTCAAGTTCAAACTCAAGTTCAGGTCTGAACTCAAGCTCAAGTTCAAACTCAGGCTCAAACTCAAGCACAAACTCAAACTCAAGCACAAACTCAAACTCAAGCTCAGGTCTGAACTCAAGCTCAGGTTCAAACTCAGGCTCAAACTCAAGCACAAACACAAACTCAAGCTCAAACTCAATCCCAAGACTAACTGTCCAGTGGGAACAAGATGGGCAACCACCAACAGTTCAAGAGAAAACGAACGTCAAAAGCCAAACTACGCAGACTCTTCGTGACGAAGACGAAGACGATGTTGAACTGACAGCTGCAGATGAACACGTCCTCGAGGACTTCAAGAGCGAAGTGGAGTTTCGCGACGGAAAGTACTTCGTGAAAATACCCTTCTACTCCAACGTGGAAGAGGTGCCCGAAAACTTTGACAACGCCATGGCCCTTACAGATAGGGTACACCAGTCCCTGCAGCGGAAAAATCTTGTAGAAAAGTACTCAGCCGTGTTTCAACAGCAAGTCAACGATGGAATCATCGAAGAAATCGACTTGTCTGTTTCAAAAAGACGAGTCTTCATACCACACCACCCGGTTATCAAAACCGACGAGCAGACTACAACCAAGATACGGCCTGTCTTCAATTGCAGCTTCAAGACAACAGGCTCGCCGTCACTCAATGATGCCTGTTTCCCAGGTGTCAACCTGCTCACGAACATGACCAGTCTTCTACAAAGGTTCCGCACCAACAAGTTCATGATGATGGCTGACATCGAGAAAGCCTTCTTACAAGTCCACCTGAAGTATGAGAGCGACCAGGATCACTTCTGCTTCCTGTGGAAGACCGAGGAGGGCGTGAAAGCGTACAGGTTCAAGACCATTCTCTTTGGACTGAACGCAAGTCCGTTCATCCTCAACCACATCCTTCAACTGCACCTGCAGCGATTCCGCGAGACCGAGGCGATCTCTGCCCTGAAGCAATCCCTGTATGTGGATAACTTCCTTTACACTTCCTCCGACCTGGACAAACTCACCGACATCTACCATGAGAGCATTAAGATACTCAAGGAAGGAGGATTCAACCTCAGAAGTTGGAAGTCGAACCATCCAACCCTGCTGAACACAATGGATAGTGAAGGCACTCTTCACTCACACTCATCATCAAGTGAGAAGACACTCGGTTATCTATATGACACCAAAACTGACACAATGTCACTCGCTGACATTCACTTTGATGACAGCAGGAGGCTGACCAAGCGACGACTGCTGAGCAACGTCAGCCGGGTGTTTGACCCGCTTGCACTCACTCTTCCAGTCACGATCAGGGGTCGCATCCTGATGAAGCAGGTCTGGGATGAAGGAACCGACTGGGATGAAGAGGTTTCCTCTGAAGTGAAGGCCGTGTGGGCCAAGCTTCGAGTGGACCTTGAGGCTCTCCAATCACTGACATTCCCGAGACAGACTGCTGATTTGGAATCAGACGATCCGATCACACTCCACGTGTTCTGTGATGGCAGCAGATCATGCTACGGCGTCGCCTGCTACATCAAACAAGGAGAGAAGACATCTCTTGTCTACAGTCACAGCAAGTTAGCCCCTGACAAGAAGAGCATCCCACAAACTGAACTTCTTGCTGTACTGATGGCACTCGATTGTGTTTCAACAATCGCAACTTCACTGAACATCAAGCCAGATGATGTATTCGTATGGTGTGATGCTCAGGTGGTCTTGGAATGGCTTCACAGTGGCACCAAGACCAAGAGCAGATTCACCATCAACAGGCTGAAGACGGCCCAACAGAAGAAAAAGGACCTGGAAACGCTGTTGAACTGTGAAGTGACGTTCAGATACGTCAACACGCTGGACAACGTCGCCGACATGGTCACCAGAGGTATTTCGTACAGAGAGTTCGAAAGAAGCATGCTCACCTGGTTGTCAGGCCCGAGTTGGCTGGCCGACACAGACGCCTGGCCTCAGAACACGCTCAACTGTCTGTCCGAAGCCACCAAACGCGCGATGCAGGTCAACACAAACCTCACAGAACAGCACGATCCAGATACCAGTCAGCAGCTGCTGGACCCTGGTAAATATTCCAGTCTCAAGAGGCTCTACGGTGTCACTGCTCGGGTCTACCACTTCATCAACAAGCTCAAAGGCAGACAGGTAGACTGCTACAAGCAAGCTGAAGACTACTGGATTCGCCGCATGCAGCAGAAGTCGTTCCCAGCAGAACTGCGTTTCCTGCGAGAAAAAGAAAATCAGGCGTCAAAGCCGCCGCCCAAGCTCGTGAACGACCTCAATCTCTTCTTAGATGAGGTTGACATCCTGAGATGTAAAGGGAGGCTGTCACGACTCAACTACTACTCATACTCAACGCTCAATCCTGTGCTGTTAGCGAAGGAACATCAGCTCACTTCACTTCTGATCAACGATCAACACCTCAAGTGCAAGCATCTTGGCATCGGCACTACTCTCACAGCTCTACGAGAACGTGGGTTCTGGATACCAGCTGGACGACAGGTGGTGAAGCGCATACTGAAAGACTGCATCACCTGCAAGAAGCACAACAGTCTCGCATTTTCCTACCCCAAGCTGACAGACCTTCCAAAGGAGAGAGTTCGTTTCCTCAAGCCTTTTCACGATACAGCGATTGATTACACTGGACATATTTTTGTCAAAGATGACAATGGAGAGATGAAAAAAGTGTACATCGTTCTCTACACTGACCTGGCCATCAGGTCGGTGCACCTGGATGTAGTACCGGACCTGACGGTGAAGTCATTCATCCAGTCATTTTCTCGCTTCTGCAGCATATATCGTGTTCCCCACACACTCTACACAGACAACGCTAGTTACTTCATCGCAGCTCAGAGGCTGATGGAAAACTTCTTTCTATCAGACGACTTCAGAGAACATCTGGCAAGACTCAACATCATCCACAAGACCATTCCAGCCTACGCAAGCTGGGTGGGTGGCGTTTACGAGCGCCAAGTCAAAACAATCAAACAGTGTCTGCACAAAACAGTAGGTCGTGCAAAACTGACATACTACGAGCTCATCACTCACCTTGCCGCGATTCAAGATATCGTGAACGGGAGACCAATCACATACGTCAACAGTCAACTGGAAGAGATCGAGCCTCTGACTCCCAACAAAATCCTGAAGGTGCACTCCAACCCACGTCTGCGGCTGATCTGCGAAGACGACCGCGACGACCCACTCTGGACTTCAACTCCAGATGATGTGCATCGACAGATGAACAACACACTACAAGAGCAGCAACGGCTGCAAGATAAATACACGAAAATGTGGTACAGTGATTATCTACTGAGTCTGAGAGAAACTTCACGTGACGTGTTCCAGTCCGAGTGGATTGACAAGATATCGGTGGGAGACATTGTTCTGATCGACACAAGGGACCGGCCCAGAGTCTACTGGCAGATAGGACGTGTTCTACAACTCATTCACAGCAACGATGGTCGCGTCCGACAGGTCATCCTGAAGACTGCAAAAGGACAAGGTCGGTATGCCACGCGGTTGTTGTACCCGCTCGAGGTGCGGGCTGTTCACGCTGGGACAGCCGCGGATGGGTGTAACAGTCGAGTGGACGGAAACAGTCTCAGGACAGAACCACCAGCTGACATCTCGCGCCCGAACGTTCGCCCTGCAAGACGAGCGGCAAGTGGACAGAGGCAACTGGTTCAGGATCTGATCCGGTCAGGTTCTTTGTAGAACCTGCAATCAAGCGCACAAACAAGTGTACCACATCATCATCATCATTGTTCACATCATACTTCAATCACACCGCTTAACAACAACCAACTCATGACAGAACAAAACACATGACATGCTTGACTCCTCTGTCAAGCATCTCGCCTGGGGAGTGTGAGAATTATTCACCGTCTTCCACTCCTCACATCCTTTCCATGCATATTTCCTAGCCTTGATTCCTCACCAGCGCCACCTATGCCAAATTTGCCCATTTAGTCTCGCTTGGTAGCCGCTAGATGGCAGGAAGTGTGGCTCTAACCGCATCGGTCATAGAAGTGCGTGTCGACTTGACCCTGAACACCGTTGTCACGTGACTGGCACGATGCCAAAATCAGCTGTTTGTTCAGCTGTTCAAATGAGCTGCGCGGCAGGGTGCGGCACTGAAAAAGTGGCAGATACATACTGGAATCACGGGCAGGGTCACAGTCTGGAAGCCTCGTGGTTGTTAAACGCTGTGTGACACACAAGAACCAGCAAACTCAAGAACTGTGAGTGACGATACAGATAACCCGATCAAGAAGCCATACTTAAGGTTTACTTTGAGCGTAAAGCCACTGAGTTTTACAAGGATTTGGACACGAGGGCAAGAATTACTGAGTTCTGTACAAACATTCAAGAAGCGCATACCAAGGTAAGCGAGACTAATCAAATTGGCTATCACTGTGGCATAATAATTTCCATTCATCCAAAAATCCTTACATAACCCTCGCCGGCCGAGGGGGGGGGGGGGGGGCGGGTGCCGCCCCCCCATAGGGTTTTTTTCGCGATAGCTCCGAACACGCTGGCGATAGAGAGCTGAAACTTGGCATACCTGACCTTTGATCCAAGCCGGATCTTTTGACACCAACCGCATTTTTGGGTCAGGTCAGGTCACTGACCTATGACGTCATAAGTGAACCTCTGCACGGTCTTCAGATGTCGCAACTTCGCAACGCCCTCACTGCCAGAGGAGATGTCACAGGGAAATGAAACTTGCAAGATCTAGTATCCATTATGAGTCCCACAACTTGTACATCTCGGATTTTTCCTAAAGGTCATATGAGGTCAGGTCATTTTCGTGACCTCACCATTATAAGTCAATGGGGAAAAATTCAAACTGCTATTCTGGCGCCGGGAACGATCTCCAACTATCTCAAGCACACAGAATCGTGATTTGATGCACTCCTTGCAAGGTTAGATGCGTCACTTTTGCAATGTTGACCTTGCGTGACGTCATTTATGACGTCATCAAGGTCAAATTAGTTTTTCGTCAATAACTCTTGATCAAATTGAGCTAGCGAGTCGGGAAAGGCACCAATGGACTCAGGAAGGCCTGCCGAATCGAATGATATGCGACATGACCTCTTTCGACCAACTTCGTGACCTGGAGGTGCTGACCTGACCTTGACCTGAGGTCAACACCCCAAGTTGACCTGACCCGGACAAAAAGTATATCATTCGACGCGCCTGAGCGAGGCAAACACGATGCTGCCAAAATCGGCGCTCTGCGGCCGTTTTTTGCGAAGTTATTCACCAAAAACTGAACCGTACCCTGAGGCACTTGACCTGACCTCAGAGGTCACCGGATGACCTAGGACCTTAAAATCGGGTACCAATCTCTGCGTCTCGTAACGGCGCACACGCTCGTTTTTTCCGCGACGCGCTAGCTCCACCAGGGGCGAAACGGCGAGGGGGGGTCGTACCCGCCCCCCCCCCTCGGCCGGCGCGTATGTAGAAAACCAATAGGTCCGGCGAGGGTTAAATGTCCTGTGTTTAAAAAGAGTAGCTTGCTGCGGCGCTGCCAAAAGCTCAAATGAAGCGATTTGTATAAGCCGCCAGCAATAGAACAAGTCACAAGCATATCAAATGTCCTCCCGAATAGTTAAGTTACACCGCTGCACTGCTTTGCAGACCGTATATGTAGGTGATCGAGCTATCAAAGTTTCGGCGGCATCAGTATCATTATTTTATATTGCAGCCGGATTAAATATTCGTTTAACACCGGACGCGGTGCCGGAGTCCTATGGGCGTGCTGGGGCCATATGGGGCTCCAGGGGGCGCCGGAGGGGCGGGTGGAGGGGGGGGGGGGGCTCGGTCACCGAGGTCACAGCCAGCGGAGGATCAATGGTGAGGCACGCCACGGGCCGCACACGAACCGACCGGACCAGGGCCGCCGTCAGGGACCAGGACCGACGCGAGTACAGGGTACCGCCGTCAGGGACCAGGACCACCGCGAGGGTCCAGGAACCGCTGTCAGGGACCAGGACCGCCGCGAGGACAGGGACCACCGTCAGGGTCCAGGAACCGCCGTCAAGGACCAGGACCACCGCGAGGACAGGGGACTGCCGGGACTGGGAAGAACAGGCAGGGACCAGGACCACCGCTACCGGACCAGGACCGCCGCCAGGGGCAGGGGACCGCCAAAGACATGCCGGGATCGTCAGAGACCAGGACCGCTGCCAGGGGCAGGGGTCGGCCAGGGACCAGGTGGGACTGTTAGGGACCAGGACCACTGCGAGGGTCCACGGACCGCCTCCAGGACCGATTAATACCGTCAGGGTACTGAACGGACCAGACCTCGGGTGACGGGTCAGACACGCCATCCTGAAGCCCCCCCCCCCCCCAGTGCAGCGTGCCGGTGCCGCGCGCGCAGTCCACTGCGGCTGTGACGTCGTCGCGTCGGAGCCCCGGGGCGCCATCGGTTCGTGAGGGCGCCGTAAAACCGGCAGGCTGCTGCGCCGGCCGAGACCCGGCAGCTCACCGGATACAGCCGTATGGCCGAGCCCGGTCCCAGAGCGTCCAGGGCGCGGCGGTGGCACATCCCGAGAGCAGGGCAGAGGGGCGGCGCTCCAGACAGAGCTGCGCCCAGCCCGGGCCCGCGGGACCGCTGACACGTAGACAGAGCTGCCTCATGCGGTGGCACTGTCACATACCAAGCATCGCCATAGCGACAGTGTCACAAGACCAGCGATAGAGACAGCTTCATGTGATGACGCTCGGCAGTGGCACATGATCAGCGCCGCAGTCGCTCGCTGTGATGCCGCGGTAACGTCTAACAAGCGCCGCTGGGCCGCGCTGTGATGGCGGTGCCGTGTCGGGCGGCGGTGCGGCGCGCCGGCGGCCCGCCCCGAGGAGCCCCTCCCCCGTCCCGCCCCCCGCCGCGGCCGACGGCAGCCAGCAGTTTAGCAGACAGCCGGACAGGATCGATGCAGTTGCCCGGACCGGATGTGAGCTGCTCGCGAGTCGGCCGCCGACGGCACAGAGCCGCGATTCCGCCGCGCGCCGGCCGGCAGGGCGCCGCCGCGCCGCAGCGGACGGTCAAACCGCGGGCCGACACGCGAGGCTGAGCGCCGAGGAGCGCGGCGGGGTGGTGTGACGCTCCTTCGACCCGTCCCCCCCCCCCATCCCAGTGTCCCCGGGTCAGCGAGCACCGCCAGGGTGATACAGTTCAGTCGGCGCTGAAAGCATCTTGGAAGTAGTTTAACTTTGAATCCATTCTACAGCCTTCAAAAGAATATTAGGCCCAAATATCACGATAAAATGCATTGTTTCAAATTCTGAACATGGTAAACTTCATTCCTT